CTTTACTCACGCTCCCAAGTGAAATGTGAATCTCACCCAGAAACACCCCCCAGACACAGCTGGGATACTGTTTGACCAAATGGCTGGGCGCCGCAGGGCCCGGTCAATGACACATAGAATTAACCATCATACTACCTCCTTCGGGTGTTGTTAGGGTTAAATAAAATAAAAGTACCAAAAGTCGTACCCAGGAGGTGGCACCTAGCAGCTGCCACGGGTCACCAGCACAGCAAGACACTGGACCTTTTGATCTTCAGTTTGCCCAAAGCAGGACATGGCGACCTGAATGAGCCTGGTGGGCCTGTCTTCTCCATGCCTTGTGAAGGGAGGGACAACTCCCTGGTCATGTCAAAATGCCCCCTCGTTCAGGAAGCCCGCTTCACCCAGCCCACCGCCTGACCCCCCGAAGCCTTCTCCTGCCCTGTGTAAATTTCCATCCTGTCTCTCCACATCTAGTCTGAACTGCCCCCAGGTTGTGTCCACACCTGAAACTGTTGGCACCCATCTCCCCACCCACCCGTGCAAGGTCTTGCCAACGGTCCTTAAGGTGATGAGCCATTTAGCAAAGGCCCTTCAGGTGCCAGACTCTGAGTGGGGGTGTGGGGGTACCTTCATCACCTGTGTTGTTGCATTTCATTGTCACACATCATGATGCTCTTGAGCAGGGGTCTCTTGTGGGGAGGGGGCTACTGAGGAAAACGCCATCATCTGCTGCTTAGGTGACAGAGAGTGAGGGCTTTCAAGTAGAAGCTGAGGATCCTGATGGCGGACATCCGTGACGGAGGGTGCGCCCTCAGCCCCTGTGCCAGGCTGAGGCAGCAGCTGTCCTCTGAGGCTCTCATGGTGTGCACAGCTGTAAGCAGTTGTCCCCAACTCAACCAAATCCATCGGGGGCACCCACACCACCAAGCACTTCAGTCAGACCTGCCAGTCACAGCACCTTCATGGCCAGCCTCTTCCTGCCCACTGCAGCCTCGCCTAAGGGCCAGGTGGCCAAGGCCACGGTCATCCCCGGCCCCCACAGGACAGGGCAGCACCAAACTGAGGTCTCCTGGTTTTGGGGGACTCCTACTGTTTCTCCTGTCTGCCTGGCCCCAGAACCCACGAGGCAGGTGGGCCATGGGGCTCCCCGGGGAGACAGAAGGACAGGGGACAGACAGCCAGGCTCCTTGGATATGCAAACGGAGAGCTCCTAAACCAGAGGAAGGAGGTGCTCACCTTCGGGGCTGATCAGAGAGGATGGCACCCACCTTTAGCCTTCAAGGTGTGAACACCAGAACCCCCCCCCATGCCAGCTACAGTCCCAGAGACCAGCCTCCTGCCCAGTAAACCCCTCCCGGCATCCTATGCTGACCACCAGAGGCTGATTCTCCCTGAATGCCCCCAGCTCACCGAGCTTTGTGGCCAGCACGGCCTCAGTCAGAGAGCCCCTAGGAGACCACCCGCCGCTGCCACAACCACCTGGGCCAACTCAGCTCAGCTCAGCAGGGCTCAGCCTTACCTGTTGTTTAATGTTTAAAATAGCACCCTGCCCAGATCCACTGCTACCTGAGGGCTCTTTGTCTAGCACCTCCAAGCCCTGCTGGGTGGGTTCCTTCATGGACACCTTCTCCCAACGTTACACTCATTTTCTGCCTTAAATCAGAAATGGTCATAGTGTCTCAAACCTTAGAGACGCCTGGCTCTTTTCTGGTGCCCCGGGATGGAAAGGTAAACTGCTGATTCCTGAAGGGATGGAGGATGCAAAGCTACAGTCTGCCCCCTGCTGCCCAAGACGTGTGTTGCACTCATCCCCAGTTCCTTCTCCTTTTTCCTAATATGCATTTCACTGCAGAAAAAAAGATAATAACTATGCCCCAGAATATTTTTTCCAATGCTTAAAGTAACCCCCACCTCCCAGAAATCCAGCGTCTTCAGAATATAAACCAGTGAGTATATAATGTGGGTAAAGGAAGTAAAACTGTTTATGGGGGATGCTTTTCCTCTGCAGATAATGGTCTAAGAGACCAGGAATGGCAGGCAGCAGGGGCTCTTGTCTTAGCACTGCATTTATTGCCCATGTGATCGGTGAGGGTTGTGGTTTTCCTGAGCCACCCAAATCCAGATAGGACCAGTCCCCTCCCGCCTCAAGGCTGTCATACTTCAACAAGAAATGCACGTGTGCACACTCTCAAACCTGCAGTGTGATACGACTGCTATTTTTAATGTAGTTATCTATCAGGGAAGACTTAAATTATCTCTCAGAGGCTAGATTGGTATTGAAGATGTGGAGTCTAATTGCTGAAAATCATCAAGGAGGCTCCTGGGGAACAAACGGGGAGTGGTTAAAGGGTAGTCAGCCGAGCCACAGCCCTGCCGTTGGCAGAGGCACAGGCCCCAGACGCGAGGCTGGAGTGGATCCTAATGCCAGGCCCTGCGGTCGTTGCCTATGGCGTTGGACGAGTTGCTCAGCCTCTTGAAGCTTTTGTTTACTCATCTATAAAACGGAGCTAACACTATTCACCTGATGAGATGGGACGATGGTTGAAAACAACATACGTAAAATGCCTGGCACACAGTAGGGGCTGAATACAAGATCGTTTTCTCCATAGTACATCCCAGAAGAAGTCTGAATCCATATCATCTGTCATGAGTTTAATCATGTCCACCCAAAACCCATACGTTGAATTCCTAACCGCTAATGCCCCAGAATTATATCTGCCCCTTGCAGATGGAATTAGTTCAGATGAGGTCATACTGGAGTAGGATGGGCCCTACTGGTGTCCTTGTGAAAAGATGGCCGTGTGAAGACAGAGACACACAGGCGGAGGTCATGTGGTGATGAAGGCAGAGTGATGTGTGTGGCCGCAGACCAGGGGGCGCCGGATTGCCCAGCGGCCACCAGAGCCAGGAAGAGACAAGTAAGAATCGTCCTGCAGGTCTCACAGGAAGCCTGGCCCCGCTCACACCTTGATTCCAAGCGTGTAAGCAATCTAGCTTCCAAATAACCTTCAATTGACCCTGAACCCTTACTGATGGAATGTCCACTCCACAGCCAGGGCAGCGTCCCTCAGGACTGTTCTTGCTGTGCTCGGGGCGCAGACACCAAAGAGAGAGCATGACCACCAGGAAAACTTGTTCCTGGGCCCCAGGGCCGCCGCATGGTTCATCTTTTCTGGGAAAACGTCAAAGTCACTGAATGCCAGCCTGTTTTAGCCCAGCTCCAGGAGGAAGAACAGAAGAGAGACAGAGTCCCAGCCCCATAGCTTCTGCTTTTAGACTAATGTCCTAGGAGGCCACACTCACTCGGCCCCTTCCTCGTGCCAGTGCTGAAAGGCAGGGCTGGCAGCTCTTTGTGGCCTGGCGTCTCTCACCCACACGCCTCCAGTCCAGCCTTCTGCCCAAGCCCAGTGTGGGCTTTACCACTTCCTTACACGGAACATGGCAACAGTCACCTCACCTGCTTCTTGTCCCCTGCCAGACGCTTCTTTACCCTGCAATGCCCTGTGGACTCACAGCCGGCAGAGCCTCCCCACTATGCACACACCCCGGGCACAGCTCAAAACAGCCCTGTGAGGGGGGTCACCCCCAGCCTCAGTGCTTTGCCCCTTCCCCCAAATTCCCCCAAACACCGGCTCTCTCTTGCATCCAAGGTTGTGCACTCACCCCAATTGCTCCACCTGGCAAATCCTTTTCCGCTATGAAGACCCAACTCCTTAGCGCCTCTTGCATGAAAGCAGAATCCGGAAGCGGCGCCCAGAGCTGGCGCCCAATGTGAGCTCAGGTGTGTTGGCTGCACTTGTCCCCACACCCGGGGGCGCCTCGTACATACCTCTGTGTTGTCCATGTGTCTACTTCCCAGCTATGCAGAGAAGGGCACCACGCCCAGCTGAACTGGCCACAGAAAACTTTCATGGAAGGACCTGGAATCTGCCAACACACACAGTGCATCGCAAGAAGCCAAGGGACCTGGCAGCTGGGGCACAAGCCATGAGCGGGTGTCGTGGGTCAGCTGAGCTCGCCCAGGAAAGGCCTGGGGCCGCAGCGCAAACTCTGGCTGCCTGCGTCAGAGCAGCAACAGTTACAGGTTCCGAACATGAATCCTCCGCTCGGGTCCTCACTGCCTCCTTCAGAGCACCTAAAGTCGAGGCCAAGCTTCAGTTAGTGCCTGAGTGACCTTGGGCAGTCACTTAATCTTGCTGCTGAGGGCCTCAGTTTCTCCATGTATAGAATGGGGCTGGAGATTCCTGCCGTGGATGGTTGGGCGAGTCCGGCAAGATAAAGCATAGTGCTTTGTAAACCCTCCAGGTTCACACAGACAGACAGACTAACTAATCATGCGGTATCACTACTTTTTCCTCACCTGGCATACATTCGTGCTTCTATCATTCCCAGAGAGAAGCATCACGTGAAAGCACTCCCACCATCTCAAGCGGCATCCACAGCGGGCAGAGCAGGATTATTATTGCCCCTTCACGTGCCCAAAAGGACAGGGGCTGCCCAAGGTCATGTGACAATGACAGAGGATCAGGAGGCTGTGAGCCAGGTCTTTCCTCCCTGCCCCAGAAGTCAGGTCTTTGAGGTCTCCATGCTGTATTGAAGTCTCCAGCCAGCGGGGCAGGGGGCAGAGCTGAGGGGCAGCTGAGCTGGCCATGCACAGACCCAGCAACTTTCTCCACCCCACCCCCACCCTGCAGCTCAGATGGGCCAGACCAACACACACACCACAGCTCCCGCCCTTCCTGGGCACAGTGGGGAGCTGCCCTGTCCCCAGGGCAACCGTCAACATAGGCAGGAGCTCAAAACACAATGGGCTCAATTACTCTCCCAGCCTGGAAGGCCTGGTCCTCATCCACCACTCTGAGCTCAGGGTCCAGAGGGGTAGTGAGGTGGACCCCAGCACAGGCTCTCCTGGGGTTAGGAGGGAGGGGCATCCTGGGAGAGGTCCGAGCTCAAGCAGGAACACACACACACACACACACACACACACACACACACACACACACACACACACGCACGCACGCGCGCGCGCGCGCATCCATGGGGGGCCACTCCACCGCTGGGCTCCAGAAAACCACATCAGCTGGGTACCGACTGCCTTCCACCAGGCCGCCAGCTTTAGTCTCCTCCACTGCCCGGGGTAGCCCTGTGGTGGGCAGGGGACTTGGTAGTGGCCTGGCCCTGAGGGCTGATGGTGTGCAGCAGGACCAGCTGTGGAGAGAACTCCTGGAGGCCGAGAGGCGGAGCCAGCAGCGCTGGTGAGTGCCCTGCCCTGCCCTGCCCACCCTGCCCCCAGCCTCAATGTCTAGGAAGCTTCTAGAGAAAGAGAAACCTGAGGGTGAGAGGGAAGCCCCGGCAAAGTGCATTGATGGGAAAGTGCTGGGGCCGAATGGCAGAGAGTATTGGGGTGGGGAGAGGGGCAGGGGGGAGGCAAGAGAGCCAAGCCTTGGCCAGACTTGGGCTTAGAGAATGGGAGGGAGTGGGGGGGGGCAGGTACGGGGCCAGTGCACCACCCCCCCCACCCCCCCACCCCCGGCTCATTCTGGAATCCCAGCACACGGGGTGGTGACCAGGAACCTGGGAGGCAGACTGGAGGACGCTCTGACCATCTGAGGAGGACACTTGATTTACTCAATCCAAGAATTCCTAGGGGAGCCGCTCTGTGGGGCTGCCGTGGGGACAACACCGGCCTGACCCCAGCTCCATGGAGCCTTCCTTCCCAGGACAGGGCAGCAGCGAGCAAGTGGAGAAATAGCTGAGAGACCAGAAACTGACTCTAGGCGGTGGGGCTCAGGGGCTGTGAGGATTGGGGCAGAGACTAGTTTTATGATGAGTGTTAGACAATTGTTTGACTTTTCACAAACAGATTAAAATAAAAACTGAATTACCCAGTGCAAGTAATGCCGGCTTCTTCACTGTCACTCCCTGTTTGTCCGAAACCTCCCCGTCTTCCTCTGCCACACACACTGGAAGGTTACAAAGGTTTGAGGAAGTGAAAACTGGTCCTTACAAGTTACTTGGGGATCCCCACAGTGGCCCGCTGACAAGGCAGAGGTACGTGGGGACAGCGCATCACTGCTTTCCTTCCGACCCGGCTATCCCTGCAGCAACACAGCTTCCACTCTAGGACAAGCCATTGATTCTTGAAATGTTTCTTCATTGCATAAGATATTAGCATAAACGCACACTTGGGTGATACATGGCATTCGTTTCACCTAAACATTAATTCCTCCATGATAGAATAAATGTGTTCGTGGCATTGGCTTATTAACTTGACACAGAAAAGTCATTTGTGAAAATGTCACAGGAAGAACTCACATGGCCAACGTGTGTTCGTTTCCAGGGCTCAGAATTGGAGTTTCCTGAAAGACTATGACCCCATGGTAAGACACACATGCCGCTGGAACATGTATTCACTCATTTAACATGTATTGAGAATCCACAGGGTGCTGGCTGCTGGAAGGTACAGAGACAGATAAAATACAGTCTTGTTCCAAGAAGCTTGGAGTCTGGTGGGAAAGAAAATAGTTACGTGGAGCATTTAGAGATGAATTCTTCCCCGTGTTTCTCGACTTTATTAAGATGAACCGACTGGACATGATGGACGGCTGCTGCTGAACTTTGCCCCCTGGTATGAGATGTCAGCAGTGTAGAGTGAGGTGTGGTGTGCCCCATATGGAGAATGAGTTTGGGTGAAATACTTTGTAAAAACTCATTCCTGCCTCTAGTAGTACCACCTCCAATCTATCCTACTTGAGTAATTTTCCTAAACTGCAAAACTGATCCTCTCTCTCCCCAGCTTAAAATCCTCCAGTAAATCTGCACTTTCCAGGGTGGCTTACAACACATCTCATGACCCAGCCCCTCCTCCCTTGCTCACCCCACAATGACCAACCCCCACTCTCTTATCCAGGCCTTTGTGCATGCTGTTCCCCTCCTGAAATACCCTTCCCACCTTGTCAGCCTGATGGACTCTTATTCATCCTTCAGGACCCCACTCAAGTCTCCTCTTCTGAGAAATTTCCTCTTCTTGAGTGGACTTGACCAGCTCCCTCTGTTCTTCTGGACTTTACTCACCAGCATATCTAATCCATTCCTTTGGCTTAGCACGTTATGTTGCAATGATCGATTTCACCCGTTTGTGGGCTCCCTACGAGCAAGGACAAGGAGGACTTCATCCCTGCACACACACACACACACACACACACCCCTCCCAACACCCAGTAAAATATCACTCTGTTTGTGCTGGATGAATGAGCAAATGGGACCATGAAGTCGGCCATGAGAAGAATGGTCAGAGAACCACCTGGAAAATTGAGCAGGGTAGTGCGTCAACCAAGGTGGTGGTGGCCACGCTGATGTGGACATTGTGTGGTTCAGGGAAGGCGTCACCTCTTCACTCTGGCCTTGCTGGATTGCTGTCGTCCCCCAGATAGAAAATTCAGTTCCTGGGACCTTAAATCCTATGCTGAGCTCTTGGTCCGGGCTTCTTCCAGCCTCCGAGTCCTGCCCGGCCGAGGGCTACGTAGCAGCCTGAACACTGAGCCCTGCGTCACACCCAGCAGTGGGGCCACCTCAGCATGGACTTTCCCGAGTGAAAGCTAGGATTTCATTCAATAACTGGTCCTGTCACTTCTATGCCAACAAAGAAGCAAAGTTAGCCACACACACGGGTGGGGGGAGGACTGAGGATTTTGCTCCACTCACCAGATTTTTTTGAATCCCTATTTACTCACGGACTCATCCATCAGTTACGGAAGCCACTAGATAAATCACCTGTGGCTTATTCTTAGAAGCTGCAAGGAGAATGAATGAACCGCAACACGCACAAAAACATGGATGAATCTCTCAAATGTCCATGAGAGAAAGTAGCCAGAGGGGTTATGGTCCCATGAAGACTGAGGGGTTAAAAGGAGGTGTTGGGGGAGGGAGGCTGATCAAGTTCTAGTTCCTGATGGGGTGGGGCCACACAGGCAGGCGTGGGCGGTTGTTGAGCTGCACAGTTATGATTTGTGCACTTTTCTGTGTGTATGTTAGACTTGAAGTAAAAATTCACCAAAAAGCCAAACCGAATCTATGGCACTGCCACCGTATATGAAGCAGCACCTGAGATGTTACCCCCGCAGCATGTGACATGAACTGTCCCCTCTCCTTCAGGGCAATAAGAAGGAATCCAAGAAGCTGCCGGAGCACATGCCTCTCTTTTCTGACACTGTCCCCAATTCCACGAACCGGGTCGTGGGCAGCAGAGTGGACACGCCCCTGGGGAAAACGCTCATCAGCCTGGACTTCTTCTTCGTAGAAGGAGCCCGGAAGAAGAAGCTGGATGTCGAGCTGCAGCCCATCTAGGAGAAGGAGGGCGGTCAGGGCTGCCCCAGGTGGGTGTGCGCGGGGAGCGGGCACCTGCAGCTGACCTGCCACCATGGCCCCAGTCAGAGTCCCGCACGTGCCAGCCGGGGGCGTATTATCCCTGCGCCCCGTACGGCCGCTACGTGGGCTTTGTTGGCTCACTTTAACCCATGAGATTAAGAGGACTCGAGAAACCTGCCCGCAATGGTGGGGTTTCTGCTCAGGGGCCCACGAAAGAGCCCTGCTTCATGCTCAGGTGCACTGACTGCCTGGGTGCAAATCGTGCTCCTGACTCAGCAGCGGTGGAACGTTGGGCAGGTGGTTGGAACCCTCTGTGCCTCCATTTCCCAACTGTAAAGTGGGTATTTGTTTCCTATTGCTGCTGTAACAAGTGGCCACAAATTGAGTGACTTCAAACAACACATATGCATTACCTTAGAGTTCTGGAGGTCAGACATCCAAAATGTGTCACGCTGGGTAAAAATCAAAGTGTCAGCAGGGCCGTGTTCCTCTCTGGAGGCTCCAACTACCTGTTTCCTCACCTTTTTCAGCTTCTGGAGGCTGCCCACTTTCCTCGGCCGGTGGCCCCCTTCAAATTCAAAGGCAGCAACGCAGCATTTCCCACCCGACCCACCGAGGACCCGAGATGAGGCAGTGCCGTCCGCCCCTGGGAACCTGGGGCCTGGAGTCATTCCACATCCAGGATCCCATCTCATGCCTGACTCACCGCGTTCTCCTCGCCGGCCTCAGTGATCCACAGCTGTAAAGCAGGGAGGGGAGAGTCCAAGGGTGTCACCAGCTCCAGGGTCTGTCCTCTGAGCACACAGCGAGTCTGAATCACACAGGTTTGAGGCTCTCTTACACAGTGCAGTGGTTGGCCACGGTTCCCAGAATAGGAGGGGTGGTGGGGCCCCCGGCTGAAGCAGCTCTCTCCTAAGGCTGGTCCTGGTGCCACCTCCAGGATAAACAGAGCCTAGTACAGGCAGAGAGAAGAGAGAGCCGCTGCCATGGGCAGGACCAGGAATGTCCAACCAGGAAGATCTCGAACTGGGAGCAGCCTCCTTGCTTCCACGGGTCATTGCAGTGACATAATGAGAGCTAAACACCTGGCACACAGCAGGCGCTGCACATTCCGGATGCTTCTGTAGTTGTCCCTGCTGCTACTGATAAGCCTTCGCTGCTTGTCAGAGAGCGTTTTACTTCCCTATTTTGCTTTACCTATGAGCAGTAACTGTCCACTGATTCGTAATCTAACCGGGGCAGCGGCCAGTGTGATGCCCATCACATGTGTGATAGCAGAGGTATCTGAGAACTACCTAAGTGAGTTTACTGAAACCCTGGCGGACACTCAGTCAACTGCCTAGATTCCCTTTGAAAATAACCCCTGAGATCACACCTCAGCCCACCTGAAACTCAGAGATGCTCCTCCTCTGTGCTCCCGGCGTCTCCCCTGATGCATCCTTTTCTTCAGCGATGTCTTCCCCTCCCTGCCCGATGCCTGCACACTCGTGCTCCCTTTCCTCTCCCTGTCCTCAGACGCTACAGGACAGAGTCCAAAACTCATGAACAAAGGTCCACGGTCAAGTTACAGCTGATTCCTTGTGTTGGCAGCAGATCATTGTAAGTTGGGAGAGGCAGGGAGAGGCCACGGAGGGCGGGAGCGCTCTTCGCCCTCCATCATCACAGACAGCCGACCTGGCGGCTGGCGGCTCCGTGGCAGTCTTTCCCAGCCTTCCTGCAGTCTTGGCCCTCAGTGCCAGCCCTTGGCCCTGTGGGTCACACACCATCTCGTCCCCAGGGTCCCAGGCCCTCTCCTGCTCCCCAGTCTTCTGAGCACCAGGAGCCCTGCTGTCTGGTCTGAGTGACAGAGCCCTGGGAGCTCTAAGGAAAGACAGGTGGGAAGCCAGGGAGGGGCTGGCAGAGACTTCCGACCAAACGCCCACTGACCTGCGACGGCCTGAGTCCTCCACCTCCAGCTTCGACACCCAAGCACATCAGAACAACAACAGTTTAGGCTGGATTTGCCCTCCCTGCTTCCTACCACTCCCTACCATCCAATGAGGAATAACAAACAGAAATCGCATCTTCTGGCCAAAGCATCCCAGATCCTGGTGGCATTGGCCAGTGGTCAGTGCGCCCCATGCTGAGGGCACGGCAACATGAAGCCAGAGCTGTGACAGTCGGCCGACAAGAGCGCTGGGAAGAGGTGGTGGCAGCTTTCTAAATGGGAGGCTTTCCTGGTGATGCCAACAGTGGTGGAGGTGACAACGGCAGCTCCCTCCCAGGGCAATTGTTCAGCAAGTTTCCGGAAGTTGTTCCTTGGAGATGCTCAATAAAATCTGCTTCCTCGTCCTTCCATCGATTCAGCCTAATGCCTCGTAATGATAATGACGCTAACGGAAGAGGAAGATTCTGTGCTCTGTAATCAAACACTCTCCAATACACTCTTCTTGATGCAGACCTTTCTGACCCCTCAAAGTTCCAGAACGTCCCATTGTCTCCAGGGACCATGTCTGTGCAGCCCACCCAGGACTCGTTTTGAATTTACCATAGCGAGCGCGCTTCCAGGTCCCGTGACCCAAAGAGGAGTGGTGTTGATTCTGACGGTCCCAAGGGCTGTGGTGGAAGTGGGGCGGCCTGGTCTTGAGGCCACTCGATTTTTATGATGACGCAACGGACTCTTCAGTGCAGCCCACAGTAAAGAAGACACTCATGCACTGCACCACTTGGCTGTCTTTGAAGATTAGCTGCATTTTAGATCGATGTCAGGGGGTATAATAGCATTTCAAACTCACCGTGGTCCATTATGCACACGGCAGAAGCGTGGCCGAGAAACTCAGTACGGACGAAGGGGTCCCATAAGGAATGCAGTCATGCTTCTCAGCTTGGTGTGCATGCAGGTCTGGGGTGTTGGCAAAAGGAAGACTCCGGTTCAGCGTGTGTGTGAGTGTGTGTGTGTGTGTGATTATATTACATATGTAATGTATGTGAGTACAGGGTATGTGTGTGTACATACATATATGACTGAATTATCCCCCCCATTCATGTTCAAGTCCTAACCCCCAACGTGGCTATATTTGGAGACAGAGCCTTTAAAGAGTAATTAAGGATAAATGAGGTCATCAGGGTGGGGCCCTAATCCAACAGGATGGGTGCCCTTATAAGAAGAGAGAGAAACACCAGGAATGAGCACAGAGACGAAGCCACAGGAGGGCACACTGAGAAGATGGCCATCTGCAAGCCAAGGAGGGAGGTCTCACCAGAAACCAACTGCCGGCACCTTGGACTTCCAGCCTCCAGAACTGTGAGAAAAAGAATTTTTGTTGTTTAAGCCACACAGTTTGTGGCGTTTTGTTAAGGCAGCCCAAGCAGACTAATACTCCACACACATGCATACACGGACACACATATCCTAGCTCTGTCTTCTGAGAGGCCAGAAGCAATGACGCCTCCGGAGCAATTAAGCACAGCTGGTCCCAGGGCTCTGCTTCTCAACACCATCGTCTAGTCATGAAAAGGATGAGGGGCTCCGTAGGCAAATGGCTGACTCCAGGGGAAGCCTGGGCCACAGTCAGGGCAAGGCCCGGTGACGAAATGCATGACAAACTGCTGGTGCTGCCAGTCCCGGAGAGCCAACCTTCTGATGAGCGCCAGGCAGCTTTTGGGAGGTCCACCTTTTCGGGGAGAACACAGATGCACGGAGAAGCTGAGTGAATTGCCTAAAGCCACACACTCCCTAAGTGGCAGATCGGGGGTCATGAAGGCCCTCCTCCCAGAGTCTCTGCTCGCCCCAGATTTCAGGGCAGCGAGCCTGCACAGAGCAGAAAGGGCACCGTACCGGGAATGAAGATGGACTGCAGCTGCTGCTGGCTATGTGACAGGAGGCTAGCTGCCCCACGGCCCTGAAGCTCAAAACCTCACCTTAAAATGGACAACAGCACTTGGTGCCCTCCTTCGCTTTTAGACCTTTTAATATGGAACATGTCAAACCTATACAAAAGTAGAGCGTGCAGCATAATACTCTCCCATGTCATTACCATAATCGACTTTAAAAATGAACAGCTCACGGCTAATCTTGTTTCGTCTACATCTCCACCCTCCCACCCAAACCCCCAATATTTTAAGGCAAATTCCAGACATCGTATTTCATGTGTAAATATTTCAGGATCTCTAAAAGGTAAGGGCCACACACACACACACACACACACACACACACACACACACACACATCTTTGTTTTCCTCTGTAAAGGTTTGCTTTTAAACATCCTGTTCTCCTTTAGCCTTGGCAGGGACTCAAAATCTTCTGGATTTTTCCAGAGCAATGGGATGTTGGCCAGGTGAGGGCTGGAGGCTCCGGAAGATGGGGCTGAGAGAGGGAAAGCCACTAATGCTTGGCTGAGGTTCAGAGGACAAAACCAGCAACGGTGGATTTCAGCATTGCCTTTTTGTGGCTTTTCCTGCTTCCTAACCTGGACTTACTACCCATTAGATTTTGAGAGTCGAAATGCACCCCACCCCCTCATTTTGAGCAGCGTCTAAGTTACCTTCTTTTGTCAACAGAAATCTAGTTTACCTCCTTTAAGAAACACACTCATTCTGCAGTGCCAGGCTTGGGCGGGGACGGAGGGGCGTGCGGAGGTGCAGGAGGGTGCTTCCGGCCTGAGGCCCGAGCCCCCCGGGAGGAGGCTTCCCAGGGCTGGGGAGGGGCGCTGTCCCTCTCGGCCGCAGGAAAGGGCAGGAAATGAACCCGCCTGGAGGTTCTGGCCCCCCGGGACCGCGGCAAATCCTCAAGCCTTTCCAAGCCTGTTTCCCGCCTGTATGTAAAGCGTGGAGGATGAGCGTAAGCTAAACTGGGTCGTTCAGGTCCTTGCAAGTTTTCATCTCTGAAATGCTCACTGAGAAAAACAAAGGAAAACACTTTTAGAGAGTGAAAAATCCCACAAAAATGGCCCATTTCCCGCGGGGGGGTGCCTGTTTGCCCTTCCGGGGTTCAGTCTCTGCCCACCCAACACGTGGGAAAGCGGTACTGTCTGGGGGTGGGGAAGGGAGGGTGTCTCCCGGCTCAGAACCGCGCGGGTCGGCTTCACACAGAAAAGTGAATCAG